TAATTATTTTATATATTCTTATATTTGTTGTTAGCTGTAACATTGATATTTGGTGAAGATTCCCCCAATCACTTTCTTCAAAAGAATTAATTTTAAGTAATAAAAAAATAAGTTACATTCTTGCATTAATTTTTTTAACTAAATGCTCACTTCCTAATTAATACTTAAGCAAGAATCAGAAAATTATGTCATACATAAATATAGTTTTTGATGTGGAAAGTCCGTTTGTTTTTCAGTTTTAATTTGAAAAATTACATTGAACCAACTTTTTTGTATGAAGGGTTTCCATAAATTTTTAAAAGTTAGGCCTTCAAAGGAAGCATAACTCTAGACTCTAAATCCATTGAAAAAGTTCTCTTTCTTTAAAAAAACTGCTGTAAAATATATAATCATATACTCCATGTTCAACTGAGGATAACTATCATGTATTAAAAACACTGTGAGTCGTGACATTATCATTTAATATGCATCGTTTTCTTTAATCTTTTTAAGAACATTATGAGACAAATGTCATTATCTCCATTTTCCAGAAAGAACAAATAATATGCTTAGCGTCCTATTCTTAGAAAGACATTGTCTCTGGTTGAAGTTTAATTCCATCTCTCTGAAGGCCTTAATCGGTGCCACGCTGTACTAAAGTTGAACATCAGTCTTCAAGACAGCAAAGCAAAGACTCACTGATTTAACGCCGGGAGGAATGTAACTCCAGGAGGTTAAAGTTTCTCTTCCAGCCTCTTCATAGGCTCACACATTACTTAATGATGTGCTGGAGACTTTGCCCAAGTGAGTTTAGTTTCCATATTTTAGAGTACAAAAAGTGGGATATCTCAAATGACATTTTAAAATAGAGTGTAGGCTATTACAGTTACATTTTAGAATTAGAAATCCCCTAAATACAGTATGTTTTCAAAGATTTTTTTTTACCCTTTGATATATTATTTTAGGTGAAAGTATAAGACATTAAACTAGTTTTTCTTCCTGTAGGTTTTATCTAATTATATTTTTTAACTCATGAAGATTATTAGGTTAATATTAGAATTTAAGTTAGTTTTTCCTTTAAAAACATTTGACATATTAAATACGAATTTTGAGACACTTCTTTTTCAAGACTCCTTTTGTAAGATGAATGAGTAATTTGACTTTGGTAGAATATAAAGCTGTTGCTACCTTTGGTCCCTTAAGAACCCAGAGGTGTACGTGTACGTGTGTGTGTGTGTGTGTGTGTGTGTGTGTGTGTGTCTCTGTGTGTGCCCTTTTTCTAAAGAATTGCATCTGAAATGCTGTATGAGAGCTTTCTTGCCTATATTCTATCAATGAGGTTTGCATTTAGTGTTTCCATTTAATCCTTTCAGATAGTAGGCATTTGGAAGGAGCTAATAAATACCTAGATTAGTGAGAAGTTTCTAAAACACAAAGTGTAAATTGTGGTTTTCTTTTGTGTGATAGGATTATAATAATCCAGTGAAACTAAGAAATTGACAAGTGGCAGAATTTTGGATTACACACAAAGTATGTGGGAACTTTTATTGTTTTCAAAACATATTAAAAACCTATTTATAAATTGTTTAGAGAATAAAAGATGAAGTGTACTCAGTCTATCTACTTACACTGACCTAATAATCCATTGAAAACCCCATTGAACTGTTACTGGCTTGGCAGTATTTAATACTAACTTGATTGATTCTATCATTTAAGAATGCTATCAGTTTTCATGTCATAGTTTATGGAGTGTGTAGCGTTTTATCTCTGCCATATATGTAACTTTGCTAAAACAACGTTGCTCCTAAAAACCATTGTAAATATTGGTGACAACTCATCTTCTAAGCTTCCTATCCCCTAGAATGCTTTGCTCTTTTTTCTGATCAGTGGCTAGTGAATTGATTCACGTCTCTGCATACGGAAGACCCGGAGAATCTTGACAGGAGCACACAGCAGCTGCAGGAGCCGGACTACTGCTTGAGCTCCTGAGTTTTCCCCCAGTCTCTGCCCACAGTGCAGCATCATCTTTAAGGGCACTGCTTGTTGCTGCTGTGAAGAAGCCTCATGAAATCAAAATGCTTTAGACATTTTCTCAATGAAGCTGATTTTTTATTAAATCATTATTGCATGAGCAATTTGAGCTGCGAGAATTTTCCCTGTAGTAGAACTTTAGGACAATATATTTCTGATTCGATTCATTGTTTAAAAAATTGAAGATTTAAAATGTGAATCACTTTTATGGCAAGGCCTTTGTGGCCTGTTTTTGTCAACTTCCCTTTGGCTTTACTTCCAGTCATCTATCTAGTATGGATTATTTTGGTGCTTGGGTGGGAAAGAGTTCCTTAGATTTGAAAGAGCTGTTCAAATCAGGATCTTGTCATTAATTACGAATTCTTGTCACCAGTTTTCATGGGCTTTTCCTTGGCCCAGACTTTCTTTCAAGCATCTAGGATCTATTTAACAACCTTGTAAAAGTTAAACCAACTGAAAGACTTCAGATGCTTTACGGAGCATTTAGTGAGGTTATATAGAAGTTAGATTCTAAATTATTAGTGCTTGTAGCAAAGAGTAAAATCATCACAGTGGAATTTGTTTCTATTGCCTTTTTTTTTTTTTTTTGCTTAGATGACTATTGTGTAATTTAATCCCAAAAAAAGAACTTAGAGGGATTAGGCAAAGAATGACACCCTGAACTGTCTGCTTCAGCCAATACTTTGCACCACTGGGAACTGGGTGAAGCAATGAATGACTGTTTATCCTGACCCAAGCCCTCCCCTTTCTCCATTGGGATGGATGCTAAATGTTAGGAGAAGGCACAGTCTTATGTATGCTGGTCGTACTCACGTATGCTTCCTCTTCTATGATTTTAGCTTCCAAGGAGATTTTGAAAAGCCTTGACATACATTTTGAATTTGACTTATACTTCAGCCCTGTTCTGAGAGTAAAAAAGTTAGGAGATTTTCCCTCTGCTTGACAAAGAGGAAGTTGAGGGGCAGAAAGAGGGCATGCGAGTTGTCTGACCCCAGAGTCACCTCCTCCTTGGCCTGCTGATAATGTGAGCTGTCTTGGGGTCTTAATGGCCTGTTAGTTCTACAGCCGTTGTTACTGTGGAAGAACTTGACCTCCACAGAAAACAAGCCCCAGGGAAGTTGTGATTGGTTCACATCACATCTGTGTAGTGTTGTAGCAGGAAGTACAATTATCCTCTGCTTGCTAGCTTGGTATGCTTGAACTTATACCCTGCGCAGACAGCAATTTACACTTTAGAAAGGGGTCAGAACTAATAGGATTTTACCTTTTTGTCAAGGATGAAATTGAAACTCAAAGGAAGAAGCTTGCTTGCCACCAGTCACAGTTCTCATTAATAACAAATGCTGAAATGAGAACCCAGAACTCACAGCTGCAGACAGCCCCGCAGAGCTTTACAATCCCTGGAATCGTTAGCAATTAATGACTGTGCAATTAGACATAAAACTTGCAACCTCTTTTCACTCCACCGGAATATATTATATGGTATGCTTTTGAAACTAAAATAAGAGAGCTTGACTTAAGGAGGAATTGTATGCTCCAGTGTTATCATAAACTGTTAACCCAAGAACTTCCAAAAAGTCCAGTTATCATATGCAGGATCACAGTGTGGTGTCCTTTGAACCCTTGCAGCAGTGTAATTAGTAATTTGAGAGCCTAGAACTCAGTGGTGCTCTGGATGGACCTTCCTTGTCTATTCACCAACAATTTCAGTTACAGAATGACAGGAGTTGCCAGACAAAATACAGAACACTCAGTTACATTTGAATTTCAGATTTTATTTTTAATGAAAAATTATTCATTGTTTACCTGTAATTTGATTTCAGCCAGTGGCCTGTATTTTTATTTGCTAAGTCTGGCAACCTTTAGACTGTCTCTCCAATCAAACACATTCATTATACATTCCTTTCAGGGCATTGCTTTTGATATATAAAACATGACCTGTTTCTAAAGAAACACACATAACAGGATGCAGTTAATTTTTTTTTTCAGAATACTATTCTTAAAAATCTTTCTTTTCCGAATCCTGTGAAATAGTGTTTTTACCTCAGTGTTACAGTGTGCCATTCTTCGTGATCTGATACAAAGGATTAAAGAATGTGTTATTGTGAGTGATCTTATTTGCTTTATACCTTCTCTGGTTAAATTGGATTTTCAAATTCAACTAGATTTGTGGAGTGCTTTCTTCATGACAACTGTCAATCCTTTGGGAACTTTTGTACTCTTATGGGCCATATCATCTGGAATAGGAAACCTGGATTGGATTTCTGGCTTTGCCCCTGAGTAGTAGAGTAACTCTGAGTCGGCCATATAAGGTAGCTCCATAATTTAGAAAGTAGGATTGTTAGTGTTCGCCTCAACAAGTTTAGACAAAATGATGCTTTAAAAAAAAAAAAAATCACTCATGATTTTTCAAAATCCCCAGCATCAAGGAAAAGAATAAACAACAGAGATCCTACCATCAGCCATAAAAGCTTTCAATTACAACGACCAACTGTATTTCTTGAATCCCATCTGCTCCTTTTTACCTTTATATCATACAATTCACATAAACCCAGCAGTTTGTACATGCTAACATACACCAGTACCTCTGAACTACACTTGAGCCCCTGTGGAGGTTATTTATACCAGTACATATAATCACTATTTAATATCAGCCTAATGTCCCATTATATAAATAAATGAGCTGTGATGTTAGTCAGCTGTCTATGAGTGGCCTTGGGTTGCTGCTTATCTGTTGTTCCAGACAGTCCTAGAGTAAATACGCTTGTATCTCTTTTGACACGTATATAATCTCTCGAATGAAGGACAGATGCATTTTAAAATTTGTTTGATATTGCCTCCTTGACACCCAAAGAGGCAGTATCAATGTTTTTCTACAGCTAAGGACTTAAGAGAATAACTATGGCCCTACACTGAAAGTGTTTACTGGCTGTCCAGGGTCCTAGCCTTCCTGCTCAAATACCTAATGGTCTGCATGTTCTCTTCTGTAGAGAAATGGTCAATGCATGGTTTGCTGAGAGAGTTCACACCATCCCTGTGTGCAAGGAAGGTGCCCGAGGCCACGCTGAGTCTTGCTCCTGCCCTCCGCAGCAGAGTCCTCGGCCAGACACCAGTGCTCCTGGAACTCCAACCAGGAAAATCTCTGCCTCGGAATTCGACCGCCCCCTCAGACCCATCGTTGTCAAGGATTCTGAGGGAACTGTGAGCTTCCTTTCTGACTCAGAAAAGAAGGAACAGATGCCTCTAACCCCCCCACAGTTTGACAGTGATGAAGGGGACCAGTGCTCAAGACTCTTGGAATTAGTCAAAGATATTTCTAGTCATTTGGATGTCACAGCGTTATGTCACAAAATTTTCTTGCATATCCATGGACTCATCGCCGCTGACCGCTACTCCCTGTTCCTTGTCTGCGAGGACAGCTCCAACGACAAGTTTCTCATCAGCCGCCTCTTTGATGTTGCTGAAGGTTCAACATTGGAAGAAGCTTCAAATAACTGTATCCGTTTGGAGTGGAACAAAGGCATCGTGGGACACGTGGCCGCGTTTGGTGAGCCCCTGAACATAAAAGATGCATACGAGGTAAGCAGGGACTGGAGGCGGGTGGTGGGGAGGAGAATGTGGCTGGAACAGTGGACCGCAACTGTGAACGGAGGGGGTGTTTGAAGCACGGTGTAATAATCTTCATATGCATTTAAAAATTACATGTATGGTAGGAAGTTTTTATCTTTTAAATTCCAGAGTGTCTTCCCAAGTGGTTCAGTCAAGGATATGAGCCTGAGGGAAATCTTACTGTGTATGTTTACTTAATCACAATGTGAGATAATTTCATGGGGATTCTAAAAATGATAGGCCCCCCAAACTGTCAAAAGAACAAACCCACCTTTAATCTTTTTTTCATTCATTCCTTCATTCAATCATCTTTATTCAGTAAATCATAGTCATGCATCCCCATGTGTATCAAGATCTGATTTTCCTTCAGCCTTTCTCTTCTTTCAACTTTGTTTTTGTTTCTTTGTTTTTTAAAACAATAAACTTATGGATGTTTCTTTTTTAAAAAAAAAATGGGAACTTTTGCACTGAAACATTTCAGTGAAAAGATTTAATACTTTTACTTTTGCTACAGCTATGCAAGGACTTTGTGATTTAAAAATTACACTCTTTAACTTCATCAAATTTCTCATTTCAAATGATTCCTTTTATTATTAGATTTGTAACTGTCAAACAAAGCATTTTAATGAAATGATACTTCGTGTGTTTGTGAGGTTGTTTCTAGTTCTGTAATAGAAGAGTTGTGCTGCCTCCCAACTTTGCAAGTATCCTTTGAAGATTCCTTGTTAATTCTGGCTTGCTTTATGTAAGCTGAAGAGGCTTAATTGCTGTGTTCTCTTCTGGTGCCTGTGACAGAGTCCAGCAGAGAGAGCTTAATAAATATTGGTTGAATAAAATAATAGTCAATGCCATAGATAAATAGAATTTCTAGCAGAAATTTCTCCCTGCTGGCAAATCATTATAGATGCCAAAGAAAGTGCAGTCCAGTTCAGAGAAGCAGAAGATGACGTCCAGTCTAGGAAACTGAGAAAAGTGTCTTCCAGAGTGTAATGCTTGACACAGACTGTGGAAGGTATACAAGCTTTGCATGTAAGCGCTGGAGGTTTCAAAAACAGACAAGGAAGTTGGACCCTACATATGCAGGTGTCAGTCAATATGGACCCTGAGGAGCTATGAGAGCATGGCCAAGTGTGTCTGGGGGTGTCAGATGCCAGGAAGAGCCAGCATGACTCACAGTTAAGGGGAATAGCAATTGAAGATGTTTGAGAAGGGGACCCATAGGGTCTAAATTGTGCCTTAGAAGGATGAGTTTTTGTCTTTCTAATCATAAAATGAGTTAAGAGGAAAAATCCTGGAAGCTGGGGGGATAGATGTTCTTTCAATAATCTAAGTATGAGGAACGGAGGACCCAAAGTGCACTGTGGCCTGCAGGATCACAAGGAAGGGATGGGTTTCAGTTGAATTAGAATCTGCTCAATTGGCAGCTAACAGGAGATGGAAGAGAGAGGAAAGATGACTCAGGTTTGGAAGTAGATGATTGAATAATGATGCTGGTACAGAAGATTGAGGGCGTGCGATTCAAGATACGATAGTTCAGGTAGCTAAATCCTGAGTTACTGTTTCACCCTCTGTTCAGGACAAGCATTTGTTCAGTGTTGATTTTCTTGGGAAAACGTACCAGTGCCCATGGAGCTGCCTCCGTGACCTCTTTGAGCTCTGTAGTAACGTCACACCATATCCGACTCCAAGAGGCGTATTAAGGACACAGCTGAAGGACTGCGGCCAAATTTGCAGAATTCCCTTCCTGTCTTAGGTGACAGCTGGGTTTCCACTTTTCAATGGCACTATAGTCCCAAGTACAGTAGGACCATAAATATTCTTCAGCTCTGCTGAGAAAGCATTCGTTTGTTTGTGTGATCCTACGTGTCTCCAGGCCTGACAATTCTGAATTGCCATGGATTTTATTTAATCTACTTAACATCTTTAAAGTTTTGACAGTATATTTTTTGTTATGCAGTTAATAATGGTTTAATTCTTGTATCACATCTCAATAGCCAAGATCGTTTTACACTGCTACCGGGGTGAAGCCTAAGCTTGTGAATTCCTCACGTTGCCTCTTCATCTGTGGATCCCTGATGAGTGTTTCTAGTGGTCTTGAAAAATTACTCATGTCTAAGGTTTTGTTATAAGTTATGGGAGTTGGTCTGCGATCTGATTTATATTCCAATGTCATTTACATTGGTATTAGTAGTAGGAGGCAGTTGGCTAATGGATAAATCAGCCTCATTCACAGTTTGACATCAAAATATGACTCGTGTTTTATGAAAGTAGTTGTTATATGAAAACACCTTCTCATGTCTTCTGGTCCTATTTTAACTTTCATCTGTAGAAACATCACACAAAGAACAATATTTCTTAAAATTATTTGACCACAGAACGTTTTAAAGGTTGTCATGTCATAGTGGAAAACCAAGAGTTAGCCATGAAATATCATAATTCTCATTTTAAAGCAGAGACTTGACAAAACGTGATCTTAGAGATAAATTAATTGTAAAATACTGAATTCATTTTTAAAGCTTTGCTACAGAAAATGAAATAAAATGATGCAAATTTGGTGCTTTTCTTCTATGAGAAACTACTTAGCACCCAATACCTCCCAAGCCCTGCCTTGTCTCTATATCCAAAGGAAGTCTGAAGCCTCCCCAAGAATTCCTATGTCTTAAAGATTTATGCTGTTAAAACATCCCTCTTGTCCCATGAACTGGGATGCAAAGCTCAGACTGCTGTTCCTCCAGGGTAGGCCTTCCTTGGGTCTGTGCTTTCTAGAGAAAACACAGAGGCTCTGTAGGGAAGGGCCGCATCTCCTCGGAGTGGACCCTGGAGCCCCTGCTTCTTCCCTTCCCTTTAGTGTTTCTGCGGAGAAACAAGCTCACCTTCTCTCACTCTGCAGGTCTCTTTTTCTCCTTCAACCTTTTTTTATCGATACTTTTCCAAAGTGATTAGAACTCACTCAGGTGAACTACTAATGAGTAAGGTTATTTCCAAAATAAATTTTATAAGAGAAAAGAAAATTAGCAACTGTTTTAAGTGAGATAAACCTACTAAACTCTCCAGGTGTAATTGTGTCCCAGAGAACACATTTTAGGAACCACTCTGTCCGTGCTCATTTAATGTTCCAGTCACCTTTAGTAATGGAATCATAAAAGCATCATTTTGTGGAAGAAAATGAGCCTTCAAATTCTCAAGTCCTTTGTGTTATTTTCATCTTTTACTTTGGTTATTTTTATTTGATATGATTTGAAATTCACAGAAAATTTGCAAGACTTGCAACTATAAGAAATTTCCAGATGCCTTTCAGATTCTTTACTTGGTTTTTTTCCATTTGCTTTATCATTTCCTCTCTCTCACTCATTTTCTAAAGAATGTAAGTAGTGTGCACTTATTTTTTGAACATCATAAAAGACGTTTTATTGTGTATTTCTTAATAAGAAATACATATTTCTTAATAAGAATATTCTCTTACCTGCCTCTTGATAAAGTTAATCACAATTAGGAAGTTCTGTGTTCTTTAATGATACAGTGCTATTATCTTATCTGACACAATACTTTTAATAGTCCAATGTAAAAACTTGGTCAATTTTTGCATTAATAAGTAATGTTTACATAGTTATTAATTTTTCCTTCTGATGTAGAATCTAATCCAGAATTAGGTATTGTGCATACTTGTGTCTCTTCAGTTTCTTTTCTTTTTTGTCTTTTTCGTTTTTATCGGTACCAGGGATTGAACTCATGACTGCCTGCTTGCAAGGCAGGCGCTTATGCCACTGAGCTAAATCTCCAGCCCCTCAGTTTCTTTTCAGACTGGAACAGTGTCAGCATTTCTTCACCTTTCTTGTCTTTGGACACTTTTGGAACATATAGCCAGAATATCCTTCATAAGTCAATTTAAATGAGGCCCTTTTAGGAGGATTGTCACACAGCTTAATGTGCGTCTTGTTTGTTTTCTCAAGCAACACCAAATTCTCCAGCACCAGCTAGGTGTTCCATAATCCAATTTGATTCTGATCTGGGAGCCAACACAGACCCTGTGGGTTAAGTTTTCAATCCCGCAAGTCTGCCCAGACTTCAGACACCAATGCCAAATGGGATTTCCAGGGAACCACAGGAATTCAGAGCTCCCCACCCTTCTCACAGGAACCCCCAGGCTACTCTTCCAAGCTGACTGAGATTAAGGTGTGCCTATGGCATCACTCTGATTCAGTGGTTTGATAAAATGACTGTCAGAGCCCCGGAAGGCACTAGCTTTGCAGTTTGGACTTTGGTAGACTGTTACAGACAGCCGAATGGAAGAGATGCTCAGGATAAGACATGGGGAGCTGGGACACAGAGCTTCCTGGCTCTCCAGGACACCAGGCCCTGATAGGTTCAGCAACCCACAAATGCCCCAACCCCATTTCCATTTTTTTAAGTAGGCAGGATTGATTAAATCATTGGCCATTAGTATCTGTATTCAACCTCCAGCCTCTTCAGCTCCCCACATGTTGGTGATGGAACCAAAAGTTCTAACCCTTTACTCACAAGTTGGTAGTCCAGTCTCAGCATGAACACAGTTGTGCTTGGGGGAACCTTTTTATAGATGTCAGAATTGTCTCCTGCGTATAGAAATTCTCTAAATTTTAGAAGCTCTGTGTTAGGAACTTGTGATAAAAAGCAAATGCATTTTTCATTATGCCACAAATCTTAGTGTATCTTATCAAGGAGCACATGTGGTAAGTTTAGCCTAGTATCCATGGCATTGAATTTGATTATATTCAGTGGTACCCATTCGATCATCTCTGGTTTCCAACTCCCATAGCATCTGTGCTATCCGTCATCTGGAGTTTTAGTATAAGGAAGAGTTTTGACTTCTCAGTGTCAGTATGGGCTCATGGCTTCTATTTAATGAGTTATTATCTATTATCTTTTTTTATGTACAGATGATTTGAGATTTGCTGACTCTTTGTATCTTTGTGATACAACTGCATGGCCTTTTAAGTGATTTGTCAGTTTCTGCCTTATCAAAATGTTTGAGGTATGTCTCAGCCCTAGAATCATTCTTTTTGCCAAGGAGGCCTGATTCCTTTTAGTGGAGGGAATAATATTTAAAAACCAAGAAGAGAAACTAAACGTGCTCATTATTTCTAGTTTATGTTCATTTCTACTGGTATGAATAGTGAGAACTAAGAAAAATATATTAAGTTCCACCCATACCTATATTGTATTTCTAATCTGTGTACTTCATATCTTTGAAACATTGGATTTTTGGTGATCCCTCCAATTTCAGTGCAGTACTTCAAAGTGCATTATTTTTCTTCTTCTTTTCTCTATCTGGTGGTTACTTGTCCACAAATGAAAAATCAAGCTTCCTTATTGTTTATATATTTGCTCATGTGTTCAAGCCAAGTTCTTACTTCTTTACTGTGTAGGTACCCTTCACTGAAGATAATGAAACAGGCCTTACTTAGCACCTCAAATGAAGGTGAAAACTCCTTGCAATTTTAGTTTATCTGAAAATGACTTTATTTTGCTTTTATTTTTGAAGGCTAGTTTCACTGCATACATAAGTCTCAGTTGATGCTGGTTTAATTTTCAACATTTTGAGTCCTCCCCATTTATTTAGTTTTTTTCTTGAGAATTCAGCTCTTCTTTGTGTTGTTTTCACTTTGTATGCTTTACTCTATTATTGTTTTTACACCCAGTATGTAAGTTTAAGATTGTCATTAATTTTGAGAAACTTTTTCTCATGTATCTTTAAGTTCTCTTTGAGTCTCTTTGAGACTTCAGTTACATACTTTATACAGTAAACCAATCAGCATTGCCCAAGTAAGTGCCAGACTGATAACGTTTCATGTTTTCTGTCCTCTTCGTAGTCTTTTGTCTTTTGTTGATCTGTATTCACTGATCCCTTCCTCTTTGACTATTTTCAATCTGCTGTTACATTTCTGAATGAACTTTTCGTTTAATACATTATATTGCATAATTTTCATTTAGCCGTTTTAATCATTTTTCTTTGCAGAGATTTACATGTTTATTATTGCCAGATTTTCCTTTATGTCCTTAAAGACATTTGTTATAGTGCCTTTAAAGTCCGTGTCTGAGGATGCCAGCATGCCAACCACCCGGGGGTCATTTTCCATTTATTACTTTTCCTCTTCACTATTAGTTGCATTTTCCTGTTTCTTCACATATATAGCAATTTTTTATTGTATATAAGACATGATGTGTATTTTACTGTGGAATGAGATTTTTTTGGCTGGCAGTAGTATTACTGGTAAATCCTCCTAATCCTCTGAGGCTTGGTCTTATGTTATGGTGGATGTATTTCAATTTAAAAGTCTTAGGAGTATCCTCACCTGTCAGGTGTATTCCTTACTCCTCAAAAATGGCCTTTTCTGTGTCAGTTGGAATGTCTGACGGGCTTAGTGAATTCTCCCTACCTGGTGTCCTTAGTGAGCTTTCAGAATTCAGCAGCTGAGTTTTGCTAATCCTCTCAGCTTTTGACGTGTGCATATCCAAAGCAAGCAGCCTCTCGGTCCTCTGTAGCCCTCTCTTACCATGTCTCCTTTGACCCCTCTAACTTAACTTTTCTGTGCTGGTTTACAAATTCCAGCCACTTCAGAAGTTGGACCTTCCTTCAGTTCTGTTTGAAAGTGTTGCTCTATTTGAGTGGCACTTGCCTTTTCCAAAACAGAAAGTATCCAATCAAGGCAGAAAGCCACAGCGCCCAGCGTAATCATGTGTCTTTCCCCTCGTTTTGCCTGTGGCTGTGTTTAGACTTCCTGTTGTCTGCTGAGAGAGGTAAGTCCAGTACCAGTTACTTTGTGATGGGCAGTGATAGCCAGTGCTTGTGTAAGCAGTGAAAGGAATAATTGCAGTAACAACAGGGCTCTGGGTTTTCTTTGGTGTCTGTCAGACATGGAATGTCGCGAAGTCTCTGGGCTGCCTCACTGCCTTTGCACTGAGGACACTGTGAAAGACAGCACTGAGGTGGCCACTCCGCTCAAAGACGTCTGCAGGGCACATTCATTCCCACTCATTTCAGTGAAGAGACACATCCAGGGTTGCTGCTGATTTTAATCTAATAACTGATACCCCAAAAGCTGTAAAGTCCTAATTTCCATCAAATTACTGCTTTAATTAGCTAGTTGAATTAAACTCTCTTCTTTATAAACTGGTCTTGTAATTCTAGTATTTGTTAGTAAAATAATTTCAGAAAGTGTATTTTTATTTGCATTTTAACTTACAAAATAATTCACTATTTGATAATCATTTTTCATGGCTTTAATGTATCAGTTGTCAGTATTGTCTATTTTTCCTTAGAATCCGTGCAATCTAAAGATAAAATGCCTAAATGTTTAAAGGTAAAAACAATAACTGTTTTACTAGAAACACTTAGCTACAGCCTTCTGTGTATCTCAATCAATATAAACTTGAGCATGTTTGCAGAAAAGGAAAAAGTACTGTAATATGTGTAACCTAAAATATTTATACTGATTTTCCATTATTTTATAACTTTCTTCCTGAAAATATCTTTAAAGCCAAGGCCCTCTCAAGGGAAAATTGGCCTCATTTCTGACCTCTTTTGATGGAATCTAATGTAATCACCTACTTCATTCACAGCTTTGGCTTTGCATGACTTTAAACTAATTTAGGGAAAAAATAGAAATGACCTTCAGAGATGACGATTTTCCAGTGTGGATATTCCACATTCTCTGAAGGGAATTCCAAATGCAGAATTTTTGGAGCAACGAAGCTATTATTAGATTGAGTGTGTAAGTTCCCAAGGCTATTGCTTTGAACAGAGCAACACTCATTGAGATGTTTATGTTCTGGAATGTCTGTTTCTATTCCAATCTTATACCATGTATTGTGTCTGTTGTTGAAAAATTTTGCTTTACATTATACTGTAATAAGCTGAAATGATCACTTTTGATAACCATGGTATTGTTTGTTAATGAATTCCCTCATTCATTTCAACAAAAACTAAGTATTGGGGATATAACCATGAATTTTAAAAAACTCATAGGGTTTACAGCCTAATTTTAGATCTTTGTAAAGTGTATTTGAAAATTGCCTTATGCCGTTCTGTAATGAACATTTAGAACTTTTTACCTTTCAAAAGTCCTTTGTGATTCTTTGTTATCTGCGTTACAAAAACAAACAACAAACAAACAAAGAGAGATTCAAAAGATTAAGGAATTCCTGACAAACTAAGTCCATACTGTTTTTTTACGCATACAAAAATAATTCTTATGAAAACCTGAGATACTATTTATAATACAGAATACTGAGGAAGTACAAAAACAATTACGAAGAAAGCCATTTAGGGGAAAGGTGTTTTGGAGGGGATAGCTTTTTAGAAAAAGATTTTAGAAGAGGTGGTTTTCTGTGGATGACACAGTAAAATCAGGCAGTGAGACAGATGGGGACAGACTAATTGTACCACAAAATCTGAGAGGTGCTACTTCCCATAAATTATCTGACTTTCTAATTAGTTAATATTTTGAATGTCTTTTATTTTTAATACTTGTTCAAGTCTAGTTTTGGAATTTTTGTTTGTTTCTCAAACATAGCTGCTAAGAACCCTAGATGTATCTTCATCAAAGATGATATGTACTTCTACGATTTGATGCCATTCATAATGCTAAAATTGATACTCAGAGTAATAGTGTAAGTCAAAGGTTACATTTCTGGAATCTAATAAATTACAAAGATTGAATTGATCTTTGTGCAAGTCAGTCATTAAATTAAATTTCTTTTTGTTACTAGGATCCTCGGTTCAATGCAGAGGTTGACCAAATTACAGGTTACAAGACCCAGAGTATTCTTTGTATGCCAATTAAGAATCACAGGGAAGAGGTAAGCCAATTTTTTATTTTATGAAAGGTCATTTGGAAATATTGTTTTCTTTCTGAGGAAAAAATTGTTTTTACTTTGCACATAATGTGAAATAATGCTACAATGATGAGTTGGCTTTTAAATTAGCATATAAATTACTTAAATACGCTGCTTAATGTTTTTATTTACTTTATAGGGTTGAACACTGATAGAGACTTTACTGTATTCTTTGTTTTAGAATAAACTTCATACATCATTTCCTACCCGTTTCCTAGTGCCTTACTCTTTTAAGATATATAATTATGGCTGTGATTAGAATCAGTTAATTTCATGTTATGTTTTAAGCATCTGACTCACATTCATTTCATAAATGGTCAACCAGTTGTAATGATCGTCCCTTGATTCCTTTGCATTCAAATTAAGATTTTGAAGAACAGAAATTAAAGCTAATTGGAAGCCAAGGCAGAAGGATCTCAAGTTTGAGCCCCGCCTGTAATTTAGTGACTTACTGAGACCCTCTCTCAAAAAAAATAAATAAATAAAAAGGACTGGCTGTGTAGGTCAATGTGAAGGCTCAGGGTTCAGTCCTCAACACTGGCAAACAAACATAAATACCACGTGGGTTTGCTTGTATGAGAAACTCAACAACAGGGAAGATGGGAGACCAAAAAAAGGGAGAACAGAAGCATAGGGTGGGGGAAAGTCAGTATAGTTAAAAAGTGCAATGTGCATAGGTACCAGATCCCTAATATGAATGTATCATAAACAGAATGTATCATTCTGTATCATAAACATAGGCAACCATAAAAAATCTTACAGGAAATTACAGCTAATTCTAATTGTGTAAGTTTCCGTGTGGAACTGTAACAAGAAAATTAAAATATCTTCATTCATAATTTCACCTAACCAGAAGACTTAGATTCTGCTCGGACTGAGATACTTCTTCATTTTACACGTATTTCAAATAAAATGGTGAATAAATTACTAGTTAAACTGAGTGAACCATGCATTCTCCATCCTGACTGCACAACATAACCGGCTGGGGAATTCTAATACATTACAAATTGTATTAGGGCTCTCCAGGGAAACAGATTTCGGAGGATGCATCTAGACATATGAGGGCATTTACTGTGGGAATTGGTCATACGATTTTCTGTCTTAAAGCTGAGGAGCCAGGAAGTTGGGCGGTGGAATTTGTTTCAAGTCCTCAGATCTGAGAAACTGGGGAGCTGCTGCTGTGAGTCCCAGTGTCCAGAGACCCAAGATCAGGGCTGTGATGAGCGGGGTGGGAGAAGATGGACAGCCCCACTCCAAAAAACGGGGGGCTTCTCTTCTCTTCTTCTGCCTTTTTGTTCTATCGTGGCCCTGATTGACTGGATGAGTGGATAATGCCCACCCATTGAGGGTCTTTCATCCTTTCTGCTGGTTCAGACACTGTTTCTTTCTTGTACCAGCCTCACAGATACACCCTGAAATAACATTTTCCATGTATTTAGATATCCCAGCCAAGCTGGCACTAAAATTAAGCATCATTGCTAATTAATTTAGAATATCTAAGGATAGGATCAGAGTGCTGTTGTATAGTTAAAGCTTCCCATGTAAGTATAAGGTATAATGAAGGTTTAGGGAAAGCAAATAGATTGTAAGGTTTATAGTTCTTAGCCATAACTGCACACTAGAATCACCTGGTATTGTTTAATATATAATTTAAAAATTATATATCCAGGCTCAACCTTGAATCACGATTTCTGGAGTTGGATCCCAGGCTCAGTGTTGCCTGAAGTTCCCAAGTGGTTATGATAATTTATGCCCAAAGGTCGAGAACTGCTTCTGGTTGTATTAGAAATGCAGATGGTCTCCAGCTTACAACAGTTTGAGGTGGTTTTTAGTTTTGTTTTTTTTTTTTCTTTTTTTAAGGGAGGTGCAAGAGCAATACACCAGCAGTAGACAGTCTATTTTGAATTTCTGAGTCTTGATCTTTGTCTAGGCTAGAGATATGCGGTGGATATCCTGCTCTTGTGATGCGGGGTGGCAGCAATATCCTAACGCCCTCAGAGCCACGCCTGTTGTCTTACAGGGAACTGTTTGCCAAGTGAGGCTGTTTGTAGATTAAATGTATGCATTTTCAATTTAGGATGTTTTCAGTATTTGCTGGGTTTATTGGGGGTAACATCCCGTCATAAGTCTGTACTGGATTTATATTTTGACATCCTTTTGTACTTTTTCCATTCACTCTGCTACCAGATTCCATTAATTTATTTTCCGTTTCAGTGCCTTTCTTTTCATTTGCTCTCCCTGTATCATAATTCAGATCTTGAGCCAATGCCTGAGCTTTTCACATGTTCTTGTAAGGGGTTCTAGACTTGCAGGCAGTTTCTGTTCAGTGCACCTTGCATACCCCTGTACTGGGAATTTTCCTAAAACACTGAATCAGTGCTTCTAAAATCTTAAAGTGCATAGGAATCACCAGGGGTCTTATTCAAATGCAGGTTGTGAATTCAATAAGTATAAAGGGAACATGAGATTCTTTTCTAACAAGTACTAAATTGACGATGGCCGGATCTACAGATCACACCATACTCAACCCAATTCCAGCTGCCTCCCACTGCATCTCATTCCTCTGTGGCTCAGAATTATCATGGTAAAATGCTGTGTTCCTTGCTTTGCCAACAGAGAGGAATTACAGAGACATTCTGAAATTCTATAGATATAAGCCATGATCAAAATATACAGTAAATGTTTATGTTTTTAAAATGTATTACAGTAAAAGATGTGTTGCCATTTTCCCCCCTCCAAAATATTACCTTTTACTTTAAATACACTTGTCCCATCATTCTTATCATTTTCTGGAACAGTTCTTGAAGTCCTCTTTCATGAGTGTCTTTATAGTATGTGCTCGAAATTATAGAGAAGGCTCGCCCAAGTGCCCTCCAACAGAAAGGCAGGTTCATATAAAAACATTATGGTGTTCCCCATCCACCTTATTCCCCAGATCTTGCACCATACGACTTCTGGCTCTTCCCCTAAATCAAGGTGACCAGGAAAGGTAAATGGTTTGAATCGTTCGAGGATGTTGAAGTAGACATGACATTGCAACTAGAGACATTTATGATTAATAGCAAATGTGTCTTTTACTGTAATTTACTCACTGCATGAGGACAGTTCATAAGTGCACAGTGGATGAACTTTGATAAATGTGTGTATGTCATGTGACCCCACTACAGTCAAGACTCAGAACCTTTCTGTCCTCAGATCACCCCCCAACCCTCTTGCTTTGTCTCCTCCTCTTCCTCCCTCCACTCTCAGACCCTGACAATCACTGATTGGCCTTTGTGACTATTTTTTGGGTTTTTTTGAGAATGCTATAAAGGTGGACTCATGAAGTTCGTGGTCTTTGTATCTAATCTTTCACTTGGCGTAATGATTTTGAGACTCACCCACATTGCTGTGTGTATCATCAGTTCCCCTTTTTATTACTAAATGATTTATTTCATGGTATGGAGATATGCCACAGTGGTTTATTCACATAGCAGCTGACAGATATTTGGGGTTTTCTAATTTCTCTCTGTCAATGTCTATGTGTAAAGTTTTGTATGAAATTGTGTTTTCATTTCTGTTGGGTAAATGTATAATATGGGAATTGCTAGGTTGTATGGCTGATACATGTTTAATCTTCTGATAAGTTTTCAAACTCACATCTAAAGTGGCTATTCTGTATTACATTCTTACGAGCAAAGTAGGAGAGATCAAGTTGCTTAACATCCGTAATGCTAGCCACTTTAGTGAGGGAGACTTGAATTTGATTACTTAAATACAGATCTGATTACAGTGAGCTCCGCTGCAGGTACCCAGGAGTCCAAAGTTCTGCTCAGAGTTTGTTGAGCTCCTGAGCTTTCTGTGTCCTTCCCTGTGCCTTTGTACCCTTTCTAACTACCCGACAACTTGGTAAGAAGTTTGGGTTCTTCACTGATTTCCGAAATAGTTTACTCACACCAAGTATTCCAAGAGATTAAGAAAAAAATGTCCCTTCGTGACTTCACTGGAGACTGAGCCCCTTTCATCAAGAGAGGCTTTCCAAACCCAGCTTTTTAAATGTATCGCTGACCTTCTCTATTCTCTTGCTGCTTCTTTTCCCAGCTTTGCGTGGCCCAGTTTGAAATTATTTCCTGTGAGAATTACTTCTTCAAAAGAAAGGAATAAAGAGAAGCAGAAAAGTACATAGACTCTCGGTGCAGCAATTGTAGTATAAAAAAGTAACTTGGCTGAGCCAGAATCAAGGCCAGTAATAAGATACAGTATATGACTTCCAGGATTATCTCTAAATTTATAGCTATGTAAACATGCTCGGGTCACCATTTGTATGTGCATACAACTCTCTCTCTCATGGAAGTTTCGAAATCAAAATGTGGAGTCCCAGTTTGACTTTTGGGAGTAATTGTGATGATTGTTTGCTCCGGGCTTGAATCCCGTTTCACCACTTCCTTGATGACTAACCAGGATGGAACTGGTTAAGCTCTTTGAGTTCACTTTCTTCCTCTGCAGAAGGCGGGTAATGAAAGGGCTTGTTGGGAAGATTGAACTCATTCATGAGTACGAAACGCCTGTCAGAATTCCTGGCACACTGGATGGCATCAGTAAATTCCCTATAGTATTTTTTAAGAAGAGACAGAACTAGCAGATCTTCTAAAAAAGACAATGAACATGAAAAGTTGTGCAAAGGTGTTTTTAGTTATAGTATAATCAACCAGCTGGGAACAAATGGTAACCCTCACAGCCCCTGAGTATCGAGTCTTTCTACTTATTATCCTCTAACAAATGTTAAATTCTTTTTAAAAATGCTTTTCACTGCTTTTTCTCATGAGTGAAGTTAAATGCAGCTGGCATTTTTGTCTTTGTGTAAATTCGACTATATTGAGTAAGCCAACACCCCTTCCAGCTACTTACCTGGGAACATAAAGAGAACTTTGGTTAAGAATTACTGTTTACTGAATGTTTCCAGAACACCCTGATACCTTTTAGTG